CACACCTAGTGGAGTCTGGTGTGCGTCTGTCAGTCCGTCCGAGGGTAGGGTTCTAAAATGTAACGCAAATACGCGCGTTCTACTGGCTGCCGAGCGCAGCGAAGGCGGCCTCGATTCGCTAAAAAGCTGCCGAGCGCAGCGAAGGCGGCCCCCATTGGCTAAAACAGATATTATGTGCTGTACTTACTGTATGTGGACTACACATCGTACTTAACTGCACCGTTTAAATTTCATTTTGCTCTCATTTTCAGCTGCGGTTCGCCACCTCACGCAAAGGGCGCTGCCTGTGTACGCGTTAGTTAGCATAATTAAAAGGCGCCGATGAGCACATACGTACTATATCGTCGTAGGAGCTGTTGAAAAAAATTGTAGGCTCTGGTGACACATATTTTGGCCTCAATCGAAGCTTTAGTACTTATTAGTTTTAGAATGATATTTTAGGCTTCGTAGTACTTTTCTAATAATTAATCTTACAAAACTGTTTTGCGTAGTACTATTATCAAGACATTTCATATTTTTGCTTGCAGCTATTTGTAGTAGTAGTCCATATAATTATTATATTAGCGTTAGATAGTAAATCACAATTTTATTGCTACTATCAATAATGTGAAAACTAAAAAATAATATTGTGGCTTACACCCCTGCACCTCCGGGAAAAAGTGTCATCTTCCTTTGTATTTGCGCGCGTAGTGTGCGACCTTCAGATATTGTGCGAACTTTCCAACAGAATATGTAGCGTACATCAAACAAAATGGGAACAGCTATTGTGTTTACGGAGGCACGTGACTAAGCAAGAGCACGAAGCCCGAATAAACATCGACCCACCCTATGTAGACGATGGGATAGAAGAGCAACACGAAGCACGAAAGATCGAAGCCTTAGCCGATGCAAACCACGAAGTGTTTTACGTAGCGTGAAAGATGGAAGTGCACGCAGCCATGGAAAGAACAGAAGAACGAGAATATGACGGGAGCGTACGGGCCACGGAAGGGAACTAAATACATAGACACCCCAGCATGCTGAAATGCACGGCTACGGAAGAGCACGCAACTTCGAAGCCACTGTAGAGCACGTAGCGGTAAGAGTGCAGGGACAGTAATTCGCCCATAGCACCACGGTACAACACGGAGCACAGTCGACCGACCAAACGCGAAAACGCGATGTACCATAAACGGAAGATCATCCGAGCATTGGAGCCCGATATTAGGGTAGAATCGGAGCTCACCGAGTCCGACAGCACGACACTACGGTAGCTAACGATCTCACGGACGACAGACCAACCGCAACATCGCAAGCTAGCACGATAGCATGGACTGTGCCACTAAGCCATAGGGGAGCACAGCCACAGGAGCTATAGACGGGAGATCTTTGAGCCACGGAGCACGATACCAGCGTAGAAGCTGAGCTCCCCGAGCCACGGAGGACAGTAGCACATTAAAACTCGATTGCACGGACGGCAGACCAGCCACGAAAATCACGGGGGTGCTTGGGGTGACCACGATTGCACACCGTGGAGCACGAAGCCCATGTAGAGCACGATAACACGGGCAACGCAGATGCACTACGCGAGCACAATACCATAAATACCATTACCACACCGCGATTGCTCCATAGCGTCGTAGCGCGGTCGATGGAATCTTACCAGGAGAGCGCGATACACGGGCGACGGAACAACACGACTGCGTGGAGGCACCAAACCACGGATTAGGACCCTTCAGGTAGAGTACTTGGATGGGAAACCAACGACCACAAAAGACTATGAACCACGAAACCAGTGCAGCCCCCGTAAACGTTTGAGATCAGGAAATAGTTAGCATCCACGAAAGAGGGTCATACTACTGAAGAGCATGAGCCCAAGAGAGAGGGTCCATAATTACCAAGCATCATGGACCACGGGTGAGCAGGAAACCACGATGCCGGGAAGATCACATAAGATCGCAGGCCATTGAAGAACATGACTACAACCTGTAGTACGGATAACCGAAATGTACCAAATCACGATATTGTACGGGTCCACATGATACTACGGAAAGGCAAGTGGTTAAATACACGATGCCAAGATCTACGGGGTGAACCACGCTCTCAAAACACGCGACACCAAGAAGCACTTAAATTTGCGGCCACCTCATCTACAACAAACCATGCCACTCCGCCGCGTAGCGGCGGGCGAACGGCTAGTCTACCTCTCTAGTGGAGTGTGTTGTCTGTCCGTAAGTCCGTCCGAGGGTAGGGCTAATAAAACTCACGCTAATGAGGGCGTTCTACTGGCTGCCGAGCGCATCGAAGGCGGCGTCGATTCGCTAAAAAGCTGCCGAGCGCAGCGAAGGCGGCCCCCCATTGGCTAAAACAGACATTATGTGCTGTACTTACTGTATGTGGACTACACATCGTACTTAACGAACTTTCATTTTGCTCTCATTTTCAGCTGCGGTTCGCCACCTCACGCGAAGGGCGCTGCCTGTGTGCGCGTTAGTTAGCATTAGTATAAGGCGCCGATAAGCACACACGTACTATATCGTCGTACGAGCTGTTGAAAAAAATTGTAGGATTTGGTGACTCATATTTCGGCCTCAATCGAAACTTTAGTACTTATAGGATATATAATGATATTTTAGGCTTCGTAGTACTTTTAAATAATAAAACTTACAAAACTTTTGAGTAATACTATGTTTTGAGAATTTCATATTTTTCTTGCAGACGTTTATAGCAGTACTACAAAAAATTAATTAGTTGCGCAAGAAAAAAAACGCATGTTATTACTAATACTAATCAATTTAAACCAAAGTACCGGTATTATATTTGCGTTAGATAAAGATGCACAATTTATTACTAATATTAAAAAATATTCGAACACTTTTAAAATGTGAATATAGTGGCTTCCCACCATCCCACCCCACATAACCATGTACACCACTCCGCCGCCGATAAAAAAGGATCGTATTCCTTTGTATTCGCGCGCGTAGTGTACGACCTTAAGAGATTGTGCGCACTTTTCACCACGATATGAAGCATACATCAAACAAAATAAAAACAGCGTTCCCCACATAACCATGTACACCACTCCGCCGCCGATAAAAAAGGATCGTATTCCTTTGTATTCGCGCGCGTAGTGTACGACCTTAAGAGATTGTGCGCACTTTTCACCACGATATGTAGCATACATCAAACAAAATAAAAACAGCGTTTGCGATTGAATTAGCGCGGAGGCAAGTGGATAAACAAGAACACGAAACACAGAGGAACACCGGCGCACACTATGTACACGATGGGGTAGAGGGAAGAACACGAAGCACAGAAGGCCACGGACGTTGAAAAAGGACTAAATTAATGAAGGCAGCTAGCCATTCTGAAAAGCACGAACCACGGACGAGCACGCTACCATGAAAACCTGGAATGGCAAGAATATGATGGGAGCGTATGGATCACGGAAAGTAACTGAAGTAATGACACCCCAACATGCTGAAAAACACGGGCCACGGAAACGGTAAGGTGCACGGAAAGCAATTCTTCCATAACACCACGGTAGAACATGAAGCACAGACGATGAACCTAGCACAAAGCCACAGGAGAGCATAAGCGGGAAATCACCGAGCATTGGAGCACGATACCAGGGTACAGCCAAGCCACGGAGCACAGTGTTACGGTAGCTCACAATAGCTCGGACGACAGACCAACCACGATACCGCGAGATAATACGATTGCACGGACGGTGGTCCAGCCACTAAACCGTGAGATAACACGCAGCAACGGGAGTTATAGACGGCAAATCGCGGAGCCACAAAAGGCGATTCCACGATTGCACGGGCGGCAGATCAGCCACGGAAGCACCGGGGAGCGCTTTTGGATATCACGATTGCACAACGTGGATCAGTATGCCATTGTTGAATATAATAACACGGGAAACACAGATGCACTACGCGAGCACGAAAGCATAGGATAGCAGAATTATACTGCGCTCGCATGATAGCGCGATAACGCGGTCGATGAAGTCACACCAGGAGAGCACGTTACACGGGGGACGGATCCATATAACTACGGAATAGCACCCGTCGGCGAGGGTACCGTCGATGAGACGCCATGGACCATGAATGAATATGGACCACTAAACCTGTAAACCCACTCAAGACCTTGGGAACACGGAAAAATAGCAGCCACGAAAGGGTGTCGTACTACTGAAAAGCATGAACCCAAAAGAGAGAGCGCATTAACGGAAAAGGGCAATATCCACGGAGGAACATAGACGCCAACCAGTAGTACGGAGCAACGGACGCGTACGAATTAACGATACCGTACACTGCCACATGAGACTACGAAATGACAGGTGTTTTAAGTACACGACACAACATCGCACGAGGATGGCCGAAGCCTCGGGGTACAAGATCAGACTGAAAGCACACAACACACGAAGTACTTAAAATTGCGGCCACCTTATCTCCAACAAACCATGCCACTCCGCCGCGTAGCGGCGGCGAACGGCTAGTCTTAAACATCTACTGCAGCAACCTGTCTGTCCGTCACACTAAATTGTCGTGCCTGTCACGCTTTTCCGGACAAATCATTGGATAAAATAATTTAAATATTTCTACTGGCTGCCGAGCGCAGCGAAGGTGGCCCCGATTGGCCTAAAAGCTGCCGAGCGCAGCGAGGCGGCCCAAATCGGCACCTTCTGCAACCCTGCTGGCCTATGGGCCCGCCTGAGCCACAATCTGCCAGCCTACCATGCGAGTAGTGAAGCGAGCCGTAGCGAGCGGAACGGAGGCAAAACACAAGGAACGACATTCATTCTTTCCCGCCGCGTAGCGGCGGCACTCGGCTAGTGTACTGTACAAGGCCAGCGGTTGTACAGGTCGCCTTGTCGCGGGTCATTTTACACCCACATTCTGAGGCCTTTCTCCAAGAGCTCAAACCAGCCAATCACAGTATGTTTTGTGACAGTTTTCCGGAAGCCAGCATTACTAAAGTCGCTTCACTTCGAATTAGACCTCGTGGTGCTCGCCGTTATGAGCCCCACAGAGCAAGACTCATCGGCGTCGCCCAGCGTCGCCGACGTAGTGACTGCCGCTCAGCAAGAGCAACAACCGCAACAATCGCAAGATCCACCACAACCAGCGTCGCCAGCGTACGCGGGGTCTTCCGTTTTCGAAACGACGCACGGGGCAGGCCCCAGTTCCATCGCCGGCGGTCGACCGCGAGTGGAGTCTTCTGAGCATTTTGGCTTCCTACACCACAACGCGGACGAAGACATCTACGTGTTCGAGGAGCCGCCCGAGGTAAAGGTACTCGGCGGTCGCTTCGAGGAGTCTTGGCCTACCCGGTACGTCGAATACGATGTTGAGGTACGTAAACATCAACAGTTGCGTTGGTATACCGCTGAACTAACGTCGATAATAATGGCCAATTGCAGCTAAAGTACAATAATTTCAAGTGGAAGGTGGAGATCCCCAAGTCTTCCATCTCAAGTCTCTGGTTCTACATTAAGAGTCGCCCGCATCTTCGTCACGCCCCGTCTTCAGTCGCTGTAGAGCGCACTGAACATGGCATTGGCGAGTCGGGCGTGCCGGAGCACACACCTACAGCCAGTGAATCCCGCTGGCCGCAGCTACGAAAACTTTTCTTAACATCTGCCGACAAGTCTGTTGGCCCCGAGATGGTTGCACTCGTGCAGCAGTTACTGGAAACGGTAGTGAAAGTGCCGCGACTGCTACGATCGCCCTTTGTTGCAGCGTTATTTCAAGTCAGCAACTCAACGTTCGACGACGAAATGGGTCGAACGTCTGTACGTGAAGGTTGGCTGAAAACACGTTTCTGGCTCAAAGGTAACCGCGAGAATGTCCGTATCAACCGCGCGTCCATGTCGTGGGACAACGAATGCTTCAACTGCATGTGTGTGGTCAAGCGCGTTAACTTCCGTGCCAAACGTTTGCGCTGGGTGTCGCTCAAGACGTCTAGTATTGCCATTTTTGACTCCATCGAGGACACAATCGCTCGCAAGGCCTTCCTTTTCGACAGTAAGTTCAACATCGAACGCGGTCTAGCCACCACAGGCTCCAGTACGACGTTGTTAGTCTCGAACGCAACGTATGTTCTTCAAATGGAGGCAAAGTCCAAGCAGGCACTTACAAAGTGGGCCAATGATATCCGTCGAGTAGCTGAGGCCTCGAACTGGTCGCAGGCTCATCGTGATGGTTCCTTTGCGATCCCTCGCAACCCTGTACACATGACGTCGTTCGCGCAATGGTATGTGGATGGCAGTGACGCCTACGCTGCCATCTATGAGGCCATCCAGTCGGCTACGAAGGAGATTTTTATTGCCGGATGGTGGGTCTGTCCGACTATCCATCTCCTGCGTCCTGCGGAACATTACCCCGAGTCGAGACTTGACGTTGCACTACAGAAGAAAGCAGAGGAGGGGGTGCAAGTCTACGTCCTTATGTACAAGGAAGTGTCAGTGGCCTTGACACTGAACAGCATGTTCTCCAAGCAGGTGTTGAGCAAGTTACACAAGAATGTCCACGTGTTACGTGACCCCGACTTTTTGATGAAGCAGCTTGGGTTGTGGTCGCATCACGAGAAGATCGTGAGTGTTGATCAACGTGTGAGTTTCGTTGGAGGACTGGATCTCTGCTTTGGACGTTGGGATACGCACGGACACGAGCTGTTCGACGAACCTGGCAAGCCAACAAACTTCGTAGGCAAGGATTACTCCAACCCGCGCGTGAAGGACTTTGTGGAAGTCGACCGTCCTGACGAAGACATGATTGACCGCACCGAAGAGCCTCGGATGCCGTGGCATGACTGCCACTGCCGTCTGGAGGGCCAACCAGCTCGTGATGTAGCGCGTCACTTCGTACAACGCTGGAACTACTCCGTGTCTACACGCAAGAAATCGCGGAAGCTGCATCACCTTGTGCCCATGAAAGATTACCCGGTAACGGTCATTAGCAAGCACGGTCCCCGGAAGTTGACGCAGCGCCTTCAGAAGGCTGTACATGCCATACGAGCAATGCGTGGCTTGTCTAGGGGCCGTGCCAACACGGAGAACCGTGGATTTAACAGTGATCGACGCATGGCGCGTATGTTGAGCAGTCAGAACGAATCGGGTCAAATGCCTATTTTGCAAGATGAAAACGAAGATGTGATGTTGGATCTGCCCGATGGAGACGAAGAGAGCGACGAAGCCTTTGAGAAACACAAGCAAGAGGTCGCTGCCAGAGGATACCGCGTCAACACGCAGATCCTACGCAGCTTATCGCTGTGGTCAGGCGGTGTGGCTACAGAGCGCAGTATCCAGAACGCGTACATCCGTCTCATTGGATCAGCGCAGCACTTTGTGTACATTGAGAACCAGTTCTTTGTGTCTGGACTGGAAGGAGACCACGGATGCTCGAACCGTATCGCGAATGCATTGGTGGAAAGAATTCGTCGCGCGTCGGATAATAATGAGAAGTTTCGCGTCATTGTGGTGATGCCGTTGCTGCCAGCCTTCCCAGGAAAGCCCGATGACAAGGACGCGAGTAGTCTGCGTGGAGTGATGCACTGGCAATACCGCTCAATCTGTCGCGGCGAGCACTCGATTTACCAGCGTTTGTACCAGGAGCTAGAAGATGACGATCCATTCAAGTACATTGCCTTCTATGGTCTACGCAACCACAGTGTCCGTGAAGATGCCCAGGCTCGGACTGAGGAAGTGTATATCCACAGTAAGGTGATGATTGTGGACGACCGGATTTGTATCATCGGCTCGGCTAATATCAACGAACGCAGTATGTGTGGAGACCGTGACTCGGAGATCGCTGTGTTGGTGGAGGATCACGAGATGGAAGAGGAGATCGCTATCGCTGGCGGCACGTACAATGTGGGCAAGTTCGCGCACTCGTTTCGTATGAAGCTGTTCGAGGAACACTTTGGCTTGGAGCCTGGCACGCCGAAGTACCAGAAATATCAAGATCCGGTGAGCAAGGATACGTGGTTCTCCATGCAGGAACAAGCCATGACAAACCACCAGATCTACGACTCGGTGTTCGGGTGTCTGCCGTCCGACAGCGTGACGAGCTTCGCTCAGATCGATTCGCACATCCAGTCGGCGCAAGGTCTCGACACGTCCGGTCGCGGTGCAGAGGAGGCGGTGGCCGCAGCCAAGGCGACTGACACAACGGACATTGCCAGTAATAACGGGGACGAACGACGAATGTCCTCGATGAGCGACCGAGTCATGTCGCCCCAGAATAGCTCGAGAGGAACAAGCTCAAGAGGACGCAAGTCGGTGTTCAGCGGAGCCATGAACGTGAACATGAAGGAGAGTTCGCACATCGCCCAGCAGAAACACGAGCTGAGCAACGTGCAAGGTCACATTGTGTACTTCCCTCTCAAGTTCCTCGTGGACGAGCAATTGGAGCCCAAGTTGTTCCCGGCTGATCTGTTCCAGTAAGGAAACCACGCTCTAGTTTTTCTTTTAGTGCAGACCTGTGTGCAGCGGAACGAACGACTGACGTAGCACGCAGTTTTTATCGATTTGAATGAATCACACCGTTATTGTTGCTGAAAATATCAAGCTGACAGTGCGTTGCCGACAGTAATGTACAGTACTGAATAACTTGTTACTGCCACGCAAGCAGCAGTTGTCAGAGCTGACGATGCAGAAGGATCACGACTGTCGAGGTCCATGTACTCGAAGATATCCGACCCTCGAACCTGCAGGGATTGTGGCCCCGGGATGCTGCTGTCGAAAACCCGGCGCGCAATCGTAAGCGAGTCGCCAGTGTCCTAACGCTCGAACGATGCAAAAGGATCGTGCTGGCGAGTTACTCAAACACGGTCAATCCGAGTCGGATCGGATTCCGATCGCATCGTAGCCTTCAGTTTATGCTCAGCGATCGCGACACATACGATTGTGAGTCATGGATTTCCGGAGCAAATTTTTGATCCATCCTCTGAAAATGCATAGCCTGTCCGCAGCGCATCCATCATAAAAACAAGGAAGTGGATTTAGACACCATCCAGGGCTAGGGTGTATTAGTAGGGGTGATGCAGCCGGAATTCAGTGAATCCGCGCTATTAGTGCTTTAAATTGTAATCGCTGCAGAGGCTTGAGCACGACCTAACTACTGTAGCTATACTCAGAGCCGTTCTGGTGCTCCCTTGATCATACAGGGCGCAACTTTGGTGATAATGTTGCTGCCGCTGCTGGCTTTCAGGATTTGCGCGACTTGACATCCATCCCCAATATTATTTTATCCAGTGTGAAGTGGGTAATAAAAAGTTCTTTGTTTCGTGCCTTAAAGCTGTTTGGTGCCCCCAACATTCTAGGTTTCGTGTCTTTAAGCTGTTTGGTGACATTTGCAACATTTAAAGTTTTTACGAGCTCTCTCTATCCTTGACCTACACGTAATGACCTGCAATACATTCCCCTACATCATTTAATATCGTACATGTATTAATATCGTTTCAAAACATTTGACTGACGTTCGACGCTCCTCTACACTTACTCGAAGTCTTCCAGACGAACAAGACGTCACAACAAAATCGCTGCCACGAGCCACACACAGCACTTCCAGTGGAAGTTCCACTCGCTCGCTGTCTGCTTATCCGAAGCGCAGTTTTACTCCTGCCTTCATCTACATCCTCACTTTCATTTACTGGCTGCTCGACTGAATTCGTGCCGCGATGGGCTTGAAAAAGTGGCTGGGCCTTTCGGCGTCGCAGCCAATGGGACACAGTGCCAAGGACGAGGTAGAAGTGGAGGAGCCGCTGGTCGTTGGGCGTCCACAGCAGCGATCTGACACTCACCGTCGCCACACAGCGTGGGAGGCGCAGCAAGGACACAGCCGCACACCCACGTACGCGCCGACGCGCCAAAGTGCACCGCTTCAAAGACGCTTAGACGCGTACGCACCAGGCGCTTATCAACAATCGGAACGCCGCTTTTCTTCCGACGCGCAGGGCGATAACGATACTATATCGACGATGGTCACAGCGATGCAGTCGCCGCCGCCTCAGTATAACTCGAATTCGGAGGACTCGGACGTGTCCATCGGACCAGACGATGACTTTGTACCATCGCCAGCGCCACCAAATAGACCGGAGCGGTCGATGACCACAACGGCAGCCCTACCGGCAAAGCCTATGGCAAACACTCCGAAACGCAACAGTGTCAGCAACGCTTTCCGCTTCTCGTGGATGAACGTGTTGGGCCAGTCAACGAGCTCGGAAACGGCCATGGCTCAAGTGGCCGAGGATGACGAAGATGCTGAAGCCGCGGCATCAAACACGCGCGCAAACGATCAAGCACCTCGCAACACGACGCACAACCCTGACGTGGCCTTACGACCGCAAGACGACGAGATGGGCGTGGTTATGCAGGGCTGGCTCGAAAAATGTGGCCAGCAGTTCAAGACTTGGAACTGGCGCTTCTTCGTGCTACGTAACGATGGCGTCTTGTCCTATTACGTCGATGAGACGCTTAAGAAGCTGAAAGGGTCAATAGATATTGGATATGGCTCCAAGGCGGACGTGTCGGTGCAGACCAATTCCATGGACAAGAATTTTGTCTTTGTGATCGCAACCCCGCAGCGTAACCTCATGATCTCAGCTCCAACGCAACGAATGATGACCAAGTGGATTGCTCGACTACATGCAGCGGGCGCAGTGCCAACACAGCCGTGGGACCCGCTTCGTAAGACTGTCAAGTTCTACGTACGCGACACAGAGTGTAACCACGAGTGGAAGCGCTACGACGACCCCACATCCTACATTCACATGGAAGGCTGTCTGCTTAAACGTGGCCACGTCAACAAGAACTGGAAGAACCGCTTTTTTCGGATTGAGAAGGGTGAATTGAAGTACTACACCGAAAACCAGAGTGAGTTGAAAGGCTCAATTCCGCTGAAAGACACAATCGTAAGTCCTGGTATGGCTCAGTGTCCTGATGGACGGAAATACTACTTTGTCCTGACATCCAAGGACGGCAAGTTTGAGATGCATCTAAATGCACACAACGAGAACTCGATGCATTTGTGGATTGAGGCGTTGCAAGAAGCGGAGACGGCGTTAGGAAGAATGGCCGGCAAGAAGGACACGGTGGCGGGTTTATCCCTTGTGGTTAAGCGTGCAGAGGAGATTCCACTTGGAAAGATCGGTGTCCTCTTTAAAAAGCCCGAGGATATCGACATTGAGATGCAGAAGCGTACAGAAGCTCTCATTGTGGCGTCCAGTCCTAGAAACCGTGGCGTCGCGGTGGGGAGTCAGCTGATCTCCGTTGAAGGTCGCAGCATTCTTCGAGAGACGTATGCGGAGGCGCGCAAGATCCTGCGCGAGTCCTCATTCCCGTTGCAACTGGAATTTCTGTTGCCGCCATTCAAACGTGGCGTACTGATCAAGAAGTCCCGTTCGGGCTTTGAGAACTGGAAAAAACGTGTGGTTATCGTGACGAACGGTGAGATCCACTACTACAAGCAGGTGTCGTCGTACACTGGAGGCAAGAAAGCCCCTGCCGAGCTCAAACACCGCAAGTCTTTCTCATTGTACGGCTGTTATCTGAACCTGATGCATGTTACTGGTCGTGACCTGTGCATTGTGGTGGCGCGCTCGCCCTCGGACAAGCTGGTGCTGCAGACGCGCACAGAAGAGGAGCGTATGGAGTGGGCCAGTGTCATCTATTGCAGCATCCGCATGGTCTCGCAAGGCATCACGTCGGGTCACATTGAGAACCTGCAACTGGAGCAGTCACGCCTGCCGTCCAAGCACTTGCCGTCCGATCTCAAGGGCAGCTTTAAGGACCACGACCAACTCGAGTTCTAGACGACTCTGCAACGAGAAATTACTGCCACATCGTGGTATGTACATGCGATCATGGATAAAGAGCAATACGATCGCAACGTAATACAATAAACAAGGAGCTTTTATTTAAAATAAGGCCGTGTTCGCGGCAACACAAAGTTCTGTAAAGTATCTTTTCGTCATCTACGGACGTAGTAGGGAGCTTCAAAAATCATGCCGAAGGTCAACCAAGACGACACATTTTTTTAACTGCCGCACTATGAGGATTGAAGAACCTTTCTTCTAGGCATTTAATGCTTTAGCCTTGATGCATGCACCGGCAGCTCCTGCTGAAGCCAGAAACGCCACAATTTCCTTTCTTTTCCACTTTTTGGCACGAGTTCTCGATGATTGGTCAATATTTTGCCGATGCAGCGATCCTTTTTGAGCCTCCCACACCCAAAAAGTCGGGCAAGACGAAGTGCGATAGAGCGCCGGCGTTGCCCCCTGCTTCTCTCCTGCTTCTTGCTGCTTGACATTCCTTCACACCAGGTGCGCAGAGCTCTCGTCCTGCAGACCGCGTAGGGACGACTCACGGCTGAGGCGTTTTGGTTACATATTGGTTCGTAACGTAACAGATCGGCTTAACGGCGTTCCAATGGCGGCTGCAGTTGGTAGGAACGCAAAAAAAAATATTCGGTCACGGGGAATCGCGGCGTTTTGGCTCACCTCTCAAACGTGATGTTATGCAGAAGACAACAGTCTGTACCCGATTGCGATCCTCGTAGACGAGCTCAAACATGAAGACGTGCAGCTGCGCCTGAATTCTATCCGCCAGATCCGTATCATCGGTACATTTTTCAGCTTTTTGCTAGAGATTGCGTCAAAGGACTCCCACTCTAACGCGTTGCGTCGGTTTGTGACGTATTTATTACCAGCGGAGGCGCTAGGTCCCGAGCGTACGCAGAACGAGCTGCTGCCCTTCGTAAACGGTAAGAAAGTGCTCTAGAGACTTGGTCAGTAGTATTTTGAACGCTGATCCTCTCTATCCTGATAGACTCACTGGATGACGAGGATGAAGTGCTGTTAGTTATGGCCGAAGAACTTGGAGCTTTCATGGATGTAGTGGGTGGCCCGGCTCACGCCTACTTGTTGCTTAAGCCTCTGGAGTCGCTTGCTACTGTGGATGAAGCTTCTGTACGCGACATGGCCGTGCGCTCAATCTGTAAAGTAGTGGAAGCTATGGAGCCTGAACACGTGTCGGAGCACTTTGTGCCGGTGTTACGACGTCTCGTCACCCGTGACTGGTTCACGTCACGTATTGCTTCGTGCAATCTCTTTCAGGTCGGCTACGCGCACCTTTCAGCTGAAATTCAGGCGGAAATGCGTGGGATGTTCGGCCAGCTGTGTCGTGATGACACGCCGATGGTGCGCAAGGCCGCATCCGCTGCACTTGGAGGCTTTGCGTCGGTAATGGATGACCCTAGTGCCAGTGGAGAGATGTTGCCGCTGTTTTTTGCGTTGGCTACAGATCGTCAGGACTCAGTTCGGATACACACAGTCGACAGTGCTGTTGCACTGGCGCGTTTGGTCCCGACCGACGTGCTGGTGACGCAGGTGTTGCCGACGATCTTTGAGACGGCTCGTGATGGCTCGTGGCGTGTGCGATGGTCTGTTGCCAACCGCTTCCCCGAGATATGCGAGGCTTTGAATGCAGAGACAATCAACTCGACGTTCTGCGACTCGATTGTGTCGCTGCTGGAGGATAACGAAGCTGAAGTGCGCACTGCTGCTACGTCCAAGATCCTTGGAGCTGTGAAGTTGCTACAGCCTCAACGGATTGTGGAGAAGATCGTACCGTGCTTTCAACGTCTCGCACGTGACATGTCGGACCACGTGCGGTCAGCTTTGGCTTCTGTGGTGATGAAGGTCGCCCCGTTTCTGAGCCGGGACCTTACTATTGAACATCTTCTACCTCTCTTCCTGCTTGTAAGTGCCGTTTGGGTTTATATCTGTTGCTTTTAACTGACAGTCGATTGTTACAGTTGCTTAACGACCAAAACTCGGAAGTACGTCTAAATGTTATATCGAACCTGGAAGAAGGCAACAAGGTAAGCTCAGTAGGACGCGAGTCTGCCGTTTGTGTATGCACTAATTTTTACTGGTGAACAGGTAATCGGAATTGAGCTTCTGTCGCAGTCGCTTCTGCCTGCTATCGTGCATCTTGCGGAAGATCGTCAGTGGCGTATTCGGCTGGCTATCATAGAGTACATTCCGTTGTTGGCTGCTCAGCTGGGACGCGACTACTTTGAGGAGCAGCTGGCGCAGCTCTGTATGGCGTGGCTGGTGGACAATGTGTTTTCGATCCGTGAAGCGGCCACGATCAACTTGAAGAATTTGACGGAGCACTTTGGCGTGGACTGGGCACGGACGAGTGTGGTGCCTCGAATCGCGACGATGCACTCGAACACCAACTTCTTGCATCGTCTGACGTCTTTGTATGCCGTCAAGGTGCTGTGTGAAGCCATGACCCCCGAGTCGATTCAAACTCTGCTCATTCCTCTGGTTGTTGACCTGGCTCAGGTACGGACCGTAGTGATGATCTTAAATTGGTTTTTTAAGGTACTGACAAGTGTGTATTACTTGTAGGATCCGGTCCCGAACATCCGTTTTAATGTGGCCAAGACACTGGAGGTGCTGGGCCCTAAAGTAGACGCGGAAGTATGCGCGGCCACTGTCACCACGTGTCTGACGGCGATGCTACAGGATAGCGACACCGATGTGGTCTTCTTTGCACAGCGAGCGCTCTCGAAGCTCGGCTAGTTTAGGTAGATATCGCCTGTATGCCATTCACGAAGAAGAAAACAATGCTCTGCTCAATAAACTCAATTATACATCGATGCAAATGGAGCCCTAGATTGCTGTTTAGCTAATCGTTTAAGAACACGGTATCATATTCAGCATCGGACACCCACCACCTCCACAACGCTGCAAATGTAATCTTGCTCATAAATGGAGATCCTGTTGCACTGGTAGTCTGGGCAGTCTTGTCATTCTTCAGTAACTGCCTCCAGATATCGTCGATTTCGCTGTTACTTAAAGCGTCAGTCATGCGTAGTTCCTGTGCGAGCATCTGCAATTGGTCCTTCCCCAAAAATCCATCCGTATCAGCAAGTTTCTCGAATGCAGACTTCAGTCTGCTGCGTTCGCTTTCAGTGTCATTTTCGGATGCGCATTCATTCGCAAGAGATTTCACTCGCTCCAACGCGTTTGCTTGACGTTGAAGCTTTTGCAGTTTTGATGTCTGTGTTATAGGCAAAAAAAAGTTAGGCTTGTTGTAGCTGATGGTTAGCAGCAATTATTACCAGAATCGCCTCTGTGGTCTCATCCTGGATATTGTAGCACAGTCGAATCGCCTCGGCGTACGCAGCCATTGCGTTTGCGTAGTCCTAGACATCGACACATGAATTAATGCTCTTGTAAAGATGGCCAACTTACTCTTGCACCAACCTTACCTTACAAAAAGTAAGCAGTTCTCCCTTTCCAATAAGCACCTGTACTTGTCCTTGCACAGCTAACGTGCTCCTTGCAACCTCAGGAAGCTACGCAACATTGTTTAGTAAAAAGTACTCGAATTCGCAGCAGGTCATACATATACCTGGTACACTTTTCGCGTCTCCTCAAGCATTTCTTCTAGTTTAGTCTGCATAGAATGTGCTTCCATTCCAGTGTCTTCTTCGTCTCCATCGCCGATATGAGTTTGGGCAGGCTCTTGCCCACTTTGCTCAATTTGCCAAGCACTTCGCTGAAGTCGAATCAAACAAAGACGGCATTCTTATCGACAACCAGCAACTGCATTAGTGCATTGGACATCACACACGTCTCGATCAACTGTCATACCTGCGAGTCGGAACACAAGTTGTGGCAGATCCAACGAAGCAAAGTCCGCGTTTTTTGATTGACCGATCGCCAGCAGAAGCTAACCAAAGGTGACGATATAGAAGCACGATAATACATGATCAGAGGACAAGCAACTCACTTCGTATTTCGTTATCACCGCCTCCAACTCGCGCTGCCTTTCGCGAACACCCGGCTTCAGTACGATCGATTGAGGTCGCAAATTTACCATTAAGCTTTGCAACCCCTCAGCTTAAATACACAAGTAGTTTCGCGCGCTGAACACTGTCAGGTTTTCCCGCCGAGACACGACTAGCTGCATTAATTTGGCCTACTACTCTATCAGTAAAAAAGGACTAAAACGGCTACGTATGCTGCTTTGCAGTGTCTTCTGCCTGGCTTGAGAGTGGGTTGAGTCTTAGTTGATATCCTCATGTGGAGGTGGATGCTGCGCGTCGTCTCTCGTAATCTGGGTCATCTGTGGGTAGTTCAAATCGGCAAAGTGGACATGAATTGTGCTGCTTCAGCCACGGTAGGATACAGTCTGGGTGGAACGAATGCTCGCACGGGAGACGGTGGACCTCGTCGTCAACCGCGAAAAAATCTTTGCAAACAGGGCACTCAGCACTGCCGTCCACTTCACCCTGAGTGATCTTCACCTTCGGTAGCTTATCCACGACCTCCTTAGCGGCAGGAGGAGCTCCATGCTGAATTTAGTGGCTAAGTTAGTGTTCCGCATCGACAACTCTACAGACATTTCATCTTACCCGGTTGGGGTCATTCTGCATGAGCTGGTTAATCACATTAGCCATGTTGCCAAACGCATAGTCGCCCGCGTTGCCGGCCAGCATCGGGAACATGCCTCCCAGAGCGTCCAAAATACCCATCGGATCTCCTCCTTCCCCCGACTCACTGACAAAGAATTCTACGGGATTTCCGGTGTTGCTCGTAAAGCGTGTATTCCGTGTAGTAGAACCCGATGGAAACTGGAACAAACTGCTCATACAAGAAAGGTGTCAGCACAACAATACACAGAAACTTAATAACAAAAAAACTCACTCAGGCAATGGAGCTCCATCTCGTCCGTCACCTGTCGCTGCAAACCTCGTAGCTCGAACTGTCGGGCTATTCAAAATACACGCGAAATTTAACATGATTTTTTTATAAACACGAAATAAAAAGCAATTCGCACCGTAATGGGCGAGTGCCTCCAAATTCATTACGGATTTCTGCCCGCGTCGTGTTTTCCGCAGAAGCTGCCGATGTCTGTGTATGTGTGTCCTCCACTTGCTCCAGCTGAAAATCTTGTGGCGGATCATCCTACATGACAGAGAAAAAAAACGAGAACGTTTAAAAAAAACGTATTACAGAAGCGGAGTACCCCTGAGAATACGGCGTTGACGCACCTCCTCTATCTCCTCGACAAAATTGCCGCCACACTGGACACAGCAAACCTCTTCACTGGCCTCGTTCACGCGCGTGCCGACAGCGGCGCTGCACTCGTGGCACCAGAACTGCGACGGCTCCTGCTCTACTGACGTCGGCGACATGGTCGAGCTGCGACTGACTTGAATATGCAGATGACGCAAATCTCATCGGATACAAAAAGGGTATAGAAAATGGGACTTGGGACCCAAATTGAGAGTTTCCACTTCAACTGCTGTTTCAGCAGCTTTTATTACGTGTTTTATTTTTTTAAGGAAATTTTATGCATGCGCGCAGTAATAATTGCAGTCAGTTCGGCGTCAGCGAAGTTGTCTGGGCGTAGAGCTGCTTGGAGTACGTGAACAGGTCGTGAACACCGCCCTCCTTCTGTGCACTGACAGTGCGGCGTTCGAAGCGCAGATCGCCCTTGTACAGTGCAGTGTGTAGCTGCGGGATCGAGCCCACTCCCAGGTCCTGGAAACCGTGACGGATACTCTGCTGGATGTATGGCAAGTACTTGTGCACACTGCCCTGGTCCACTACTGCACCGGACACACCGACAGCAACGTGGCTGGCAGCGGCAGCAGCGTGAGCAGCGTTTCCGTGGCGGTAGTACTCATGACTGCCGCTGCCATAGTAGTGCTTCAGACGCATGCCGTCCTGGAAAAAGTAGTCGCCTGGGGCCTCCGCTGTGCCTGCAAGACTCGATCCCATCATAACAACCGAAGCACAAAGAGAGAGCGCCTTGATAGCAGCTCCAGGGCTACCGATGCCACCGTCAGCGATGACGGGGACACCGTAGTCCTTGGCTAGAAGAGCGGTATTGTAGATTGCCGACCATTGGGCACGACCTACGGCCTTCACGACCTGCGAGGTGGACACAGAACCCACACCCATCCCAACACGGACACCATCCACACCGGCGTCAAGCAGGTTCTTCAACTGCTTCGCGGTAACAACATTGCCACCAACAACTTCTGCAGACGGGTGTGTCTGCTTAATGTACTGGTAGATCGCATCGCACTGTTAGCTGGATACACAGGGGCTTTCGAATAATAGTGTCTTACCTTGACGAGGTCGATTTGGGCGGCGCTGTCACCCTGGCGGGCATCCAGAGCAATGACGTCGGTACCAGCAGCCACAAGCGCATCGATGCGCGACTTGGCCTGCTCGTTCACCGACACAGCAGCACCGACAAGCAGTTTATGGGTCTCAGGGTCACGCACAGCGTTCGGATAGTCGCGGTGCTTGAGTAAGTCCAAGCGGGTCATGAGAGACACGAGGTTACCCGACGCATCCACAATGGGAAGAGTGCCCTTTTTCGCCTCCTTCAGCACCATGTTGGCCTCCTCAAGCGAGATCGGATACGTGCCAACAATCAACTGCTTGAGAGGCACCATGATGGTCGACAATGCCACCGAGCGGTCTTCAATAAAGTCCACATCGCGGCTCGTGACCAGACCCACAAGTTTTCCAGTAGGTTGTCCGTCCTCCGTAATAGGGACACCAGAAACCTTCAGCTGATCCAGGTCGAGAACAGTATTTGTCGGTCCCAGCACCTTTGGCTCGGGGATGAAGCCGTTCTCGTAGACCTTTACCGCGCGCACCATTTCGGATTGCTGCTCAATCGAGTTGTTACAGTGTAGGAATCCCAGTCCACCCTGTAGTGCTATAGCGATGGCCATGTTGGCCTCCGTCACGGTGTCCATGGGAGAGCTCACGATGGGAGCCGATAGCTTTACCTTCTTGGTCAACTTCGTGGCCACCTCCACGTCCTGAACGCCAAAGTTAACTAGCAGAGGATAGGAGTTAGATATACTTTAGTAGCGCGGTATGATCGATACCAATGGCGACGTACTGTGGCCAGGCTACGGTTGCAGGGGGCGACGCGTTGACGTGCATCAGATACAATAAAAATGTTAGAATAATCTACGTCAAAGATGGTAGAAGATTCACAGTTGCGCGAATACCAGGGAAATAACGTCATCAAAGGTGAGGCCATTGCTGTCCTTGTTGTGGAAGAGCTGCTCGGCGCTCACGCCGTCGTAGAGACTCTCGTCCATGCTGCCGTAGTGGAGTAGAGGCGCAGGACGCACGCCGGTTGATTGTGATTGGACGTAGCTCTAACCAATCAAGCGATGTTACCAATGTTGAAGTGATACTTTTTATATTTCAATGCACGAATATTGCTTTAAATTGTTGTTACTTTAATTAAAGCCGACAGAGCTGCATGAACAAGTCCTGGGCACGCTGGTCGTCCCAATCAGCGGAGTTATTGCTTGTTATGTCGTTTTTGCTGACAGGGAGATAGTTCTTTTGCATCAAGGGGGCATACCCGGGAGTTTTTGGAGGCTTGGACGGTATTTGCTGCATCTTATGTCGCTTGTCCGTTCGTTCTGGTACGTGTACTTTGTTTTGCGGTGGATGGGCCTCAGGTAGCATTTGTCTGAGCAATAGTTGTAGCTGTTCTTCAGGCGAATGAGATTTTGCTGGTAAAATGGTATCACGGTTGTTCGAAAAAGGTTGTGTTTGGACTGATCTTGCTAGAGGCAAATGAGGACTGGAGCTGTTGCTGGGTGGCTGACTCTGCGAACACGGAACCGTCTCAATTCCAAACAAGTCGTTGTATGGCGGGGGAGGTGAGTCGGTGCGCGGAAGGACGAGGCGGTTTGCGCTTTGGTTGGGGTGAGCAGGCTCAAAATTTTGCGCAATGTACTGCAGCGATCGTGAAGGTGCACTCTTACTGACATAGGGCAGTGCGTGTTTGTTAGTGAATGACTTGGACATGCGCTTCAGACTAGTGTTCATATTTGGGCCATCAGAAATGTACAAACAATAAATTAGAAGGAAAACTTCACTTACACCTTCCTCTTGGGCGATTTTGATGCGTGGCGAAGCTGCGATTTCTGTTTTCTAGTGTTCAACCCGCTGTTAGCTTCGTGGTAATCTGAGAGCGCGAAAAAGGCAACTTACAAGGTTCGCAGCTCTTGGTGAGCTACGTTCTGGCGAACACTAGGAGTCATTCTATGTACTGCTTCAAGGGAGTCTGCAGATAAATACATGGGTTCGTCGCAAGTCTGAAATTGCTGCCGGATTGACTGTTCTGAGAACGCGTTAACAAAAGGACCCAGCTCGTTGTTGGAATGATCCATAAAATCTATAGCAAGGATCAAAGAGGGTTGAGTTACTGAACTAGTCATAAAATGTAGCCGAACCAATCGTACATCCTGGTGTTCGAGCGCGCAACATCCTATTTTCAAGTTTCAGAAGCCGGATTTGCTCTTTCAGATCCTTGATGAGTTTTTCCTATCATAGAAACCATATTTTTTAGGAAGGAGCAGGTGCGTCTGTGTAACGTGAATGCCACTTACATGAGGAGTGAGTAGAGCTGTCGGCCGGTTCTTGATTTTGGCGACGCCCATTGCAAATTCGAGTGTACGGACCGACTCGACTGCAAATTGTGAAGACGAATTCACACAAGCAATCATGAGGGTCTTGCAGTTACCCCCTAAGCTATCCAGTAGCAGCATTGTGAGTTTGGAGTCTCGAAATGGTACGAATCTGGCCTTTCCCGTCTTGCTACATTTCGGGGTATTTATCGCTTGAATCACTTGGCTGAGGCAGTGAAGACTTCGATTAATATGGCACGACTCGCGAAGTTGTGTCCCCACGGCGCCAGAGTCCGAGACACGCTCACTTCCAGCCAAATCAACGATCGTAATTTTACCATAACGCTTGCCAGTCGATGAAGTGGACTTTAAAGGTGCTGCATCGATGTAAATTGTAACGAGGCAGTGACTTCTGTTTGAACGCTCGTTCAGTAGATGGCTAGACTTAGTGCGTTGAGTGGCGGCAGCTCGTACCACCCTTACAATTTCTCGAGCGGTCATGCATTCTACCACTGTAGCATTCTCCAGAAAGAAGCCATGGGTCTTTGAGGAGCGCACTGCTAATGTCTCCTTACGTGGATCGAATACATCACGCACTTGTTCGTTGTAGATTTCAACGCAAGTCACACGCAGAGTATACTCAATCTCACTTTTCCGAGCAGAAACTGAGTTCATCAGCGCTTGTGCTATGCGAGGCAAAAGACCATCTTGCTCCTGTAGAGCCGTTTTGCGCAAAGTCGCATCGTCCTCATTCCCAAAAATGGTGAAGGATTTACCAGCACCCGTTTGCCCGTAGGCAAAGATGGTCACAGGGAAGCCGTCCAGCGCAGAGTCGACGAGTTCTTTCGCATGTATCTGGTCGAAAACGTCCTCTTGGGACGCTGTCGATGGAAGGAACGTCTCGCAACGAAATGCGGCAGCGCGTGTATGAGCTGGATCAGTGTATACAAAGAGCTCGCCGGGGTTTTCAGGGCTAGCCGCAACGCACTCTTGGTCATTCCCACGCTTCTTCCTGGTGCTGCTTCTTGGCGTGCTGCCATTGCGCCCGGTAATACAAACGTAGGGCCGAGCACGCACCACCACACGGATCTTCTCCTCCTTTTCCATGTCGTTAGCAAGGGCTCCACTACAAGTCAAGATATCGAATATTTGTGCGCCAGGAGGAGGCATATATTTTAGGCAGAGCGTAGACTATTCCTGTGCCATGGCACGAGCTAGCAACCAGACTGGTTACGTAGCCTAGCACTCGTCAACTTGAGGCTGTGGAGATGTGATCGGCAACTGCATCTCACGCCTCTCTTGTTTCTTTTTGCCGGCAACTGCTGCAAATTTTGCTTCTGGCAGAGGACTCTGACCTCATCACGACAAGTTTGCCGCTGAAGTTCAAATCCGCAAACACGCTTCAAATTTTTCTGATAACAACTTCAACTTGGCAAAATGATACGGTTACAAGAAATGACATCAAAAATTTAATTCTGCGGGTAGTGCCCGAGGTGATTTATATGCGTTGCGTACGAGTGCAGTGCAGGTTTTGTATGTTCCCAAGGCGCTATTGGTGCTGCGTTGCGCTCCGCGTGTATTTATCTCGACCGTCCATTTCAACAGACGTATCGGTGGTTCATTGCACAGAGGCGACATCCTCCACGGAATCCTCAAACTCGAGCGGAATGAGCTTGATGTCGCAGCCGTCCCGGTGGGGGCTCAGCTCAATGACGGTGTCCTCGTAAGACTGCAGGTGCGGCACCTTGGCGGCCTCACAACCGGCAAAGTAGCCCATGAGGCAGCGCAGAATAGATTCACTGCAGATCACCAGCACGTCGCGCTTCTTGCGTTCAAACTCCACAATGAGCGAACGCAGACGCGAGATCACATCCACGTAGCTCTCACCTCCCACGCCGGGATAACGATAGCGAAGCTTGTCCTGCAGTCGCGCTGCATAATGTTTTGGATAGAAACGCTCGATTTCATCGTACGTGAGGCCCTCGAAGTCACCGCCGCCGAGCTCGTTGAGCAACGTCGTGGTCACGTAGCGCTTCAAGTCGCAGGTGGGCACGTAGTTTGCCGTTTCTCTCGCACGCTTCATGGGACTCGTCCACACTTCCATGGGGCGTTCGAGCTGCAAATTTTCGACAAAGCGTGCAATGGCACGCGCCACTCGGTGGCCCTCAGGCGCCAGCTCTGTGTCCAGACCTAAGATGCCCTTGCTGCTTGTAATGCTCGGACCCGCGCGCACCAACCAGATCCGGTGCGGACAGAGGTGAATGTTCTGCAGGAGCGACACGATGTGACTCTGTAGGAAGCCCTGACAGTACCGTGCCTGAATCTTCTCACCGGCATTGTAGACCTTCACATAGCAGGATTTACCGCCATCCTCCGTGTCTTCCACAGTCTCATAGACCTTCTGATACTCGTGCACGCGCTGTCTAAAGTCTGCCAGCGCCACCTCGGGATCCTTGTCCTTATAATCGGCGTTCGAGAGCTTACTATAAGCAAATATATAGTCAGCTAGCCATTCCATCTCTGACCACTGCATCTGCAACGTACCGACGGTAGTTGGCTTCGAGTAGCTCTTCGTTGTCGCAAATACTCTCGACGAACATGACGCGGACGTTGCGGTGTGAGCTTACCTTCTCGAGAATATGCTGTCTGCATAATTACAAAAATACACAGCATGAGACTGCTATCCACACCGCTTCATCTCCATCGCGTACGTACCTTCGTAGCTTCGTCGTGTTGGTCGCGTCGAAAACAGCGACGTGTCCCTGGGTCTCAAGCCACTCGAGCAGGTCGTCCAGTGCGTCCATAGCCATTTCCTCGCGCAGACGCGTGGCGTCTGAGTTATCGGCGCTGAAGAACTTGGCGTCCTCGCCAGCTTTGCCCAGTTTGCGACGCAGATTGCCGACATTAAACATGCGCGTGGGGAAGCCCAGCCACTCGATGTAGCGCAGTGTCTTGTGCACCACAAAGCTCTTGCCACGTGCAGGTAGACCTACCATTACGAGCACGAGCTTCTTCTGTGAAGAGAAGAGGCCGTCAGTGCTGCCGGTCCCGTCGGCGCTCTCTTCGCTGCTGTCGCTGTCCACGGATACGACGTCACTCTGTGGCGACTTCTTCCACATCCACTGGGACTTGCGGTCGTCACCAAGGCTGTTGAGACGCTTAAGCCGCTGATTGGCAAAGCGGCGATGCATGGTCTTGTACACCAGTAGGCGCTTGCGGCCGTCATGCATGAAATCTTGCAGCGTCTCGCGATAAATCACCACTTGGAGGGCGAGTGCAAGCGCCAGCGCCACGGACCAGCCAGCGCCTCCCGGACTCGGTAGACTCGGTAGATTGAGCTTCATACGTGGGCGGACTGTTACTGTTATATGATTCGGGACGATTGAGCTGTGTCGCTGCTCGTCGTGTGCAACCTCAGCGCGTCTTTGCCAAATGACCTCGTGTGTACAAAGGTGCCTTCACGTTTTGTGTGTCCGGATGGGACTGTCCGAATGATTTGAACAGAGGTACGAGTTGAAGAGTGAAAAGTGACAAATCTCCGGACAAGATTGAGCGTAATGTGATTTTGCAAAAAAGCTGCTGACGCCGGCGGCTGAATCTTGGCGTTGAAGGCATAATCGCCCGGGTTGTAAGTTGGTCACGCACGTGGCGAGACACTCGGTTCCCCATGCACAAGCAACAGTGTCAGAAGCACTGGCAACCATGCGACGCGGCTGCGAGGAGGATACAGGTGAATTTTGATGATTAAACGCCGCCGGGTTCGCGTGCGAAGTGCCATGATTGACGACGGATTGACCTCCTATTCGTAACCTGCAACTACACTGCAATGGCAGCGCGTCTTCCGCGGATGGCGGGCTCGGATCCGTGTCGTTCATCGAGTGCGCGAGGGCATGGAGTTGCTGGTTGCTGACATTCAGCGCCAATTGAACGGCGAGTGGGCGCTTCTTGGGCCAACAGCGTCAACGCTCCCGTCCTTTTCGCTGGACTGGGGGCGGAGCGGCACACTGAGGCTGCCGCGCATGGAAGACTCGCTCTTCGGTGTATCAGTTGTCTTTCCGCCGCTCGAGCTAGAAGAAGAGCTACATGACGAAGACGACAGCGAGAACGAGGCTTTGGCAAACGAATATGTGCAAGCTGCTAGTCAAGACAGCGGGCTGGCTGCAACGGATGGCCTATCATCACAGGACAAGGTGATGCCGTTTGAATCAAGTCTTGGCAATGCACCAGAGAGTCGTCTACCGACCGACGACACTGATGCACAGACTTCGCTCTGCGAAGCGCAGGCGGTTAACGAGGCAGCGAATAGTTCCGATGCCAGCAGGTGTGACGCGTGCATGTCGGCTGTAGAAATACGCAGCACCACGCTCCAAGCAGAAACATCAGCGAAGCAGCAATCCAAGTGCCAAGCGGAAAGCACGGACGATGTGCCACGCAATGATGGGAACGCCCAACTGGCGAGTGCTCAGGAGATCCTCGCAACGCACTCGCGAGCAGAAATTCTAAGCGAGCTGGAGTGGGCACGCCAAGCACTTCGCGACCGGCGTAAGGTACGTTTGTCCAACAACGCGTCACCAATGGCTTATTAAACGTGTGGTCTCACTGCTTGTTTATCATTGTTTGGCTTGCAGTACTTGCGGTCCAAGAGGCGCGTTGAACGGGGCCCCGACCTTGCCTGTGCATGATTCTCATAAGACCCAAGCTTTGTCAATATAAATCCGTTAAATTTGCACGTCATGACCGACCTAGCTGTCATCTACTTAGACTCCAGATACAGGCTCAAAAGCGCATATCGTGCACACGGTCGTTCTTGGTTAGAGTGAACTTGGCGTTCAGGTATGCGCGTAGGTAGGGCTCGTTCGCCAGCTTCTTCATTAGCAGTGCGTCCACTGTTTTCTGGTCCTTCTTGCGCTGTTCCGCAATGACCGGCGCAGCCTGTGCGACACAAGAACCACCGTCAGAACAACCGGTGGAGGAACTTTTGCGATCCCAAGCGCATTTTGCAAGCCCCATAGCCACATCCTTCGGCTTTCAAACATGTAGGGGCCACATATACACAATGATGGATACACAACTCAATTCATCAGCGTACCGGGGTTTGCTCCGCAAAAAAACGTTCCTCCTTGCTGTTCTTCTTGGCCGGCTTGTCCTTCGTAAAATACTCGTCGTCGATCTCCGGCAGCTGCACGTCCGATAAATCCATTCGAGTCGACGTAGCAATGACAAAAGCCTGGTTTACGCGACGCAGCGGCACACCATTCACCTTATATGGGCCTAGTATTCACCGACGACACACACACATGTCAGCCTTCGTTACCAGACAACAAGTCATCAAAAGCCTTAGTACTCCTCATCCCAGTCAAAACCTCTCACGGAGGAGACCGCTCCAATCAGCACGATGCATAGGCAACGATAAAAGACGGAGTAGAGTACGGCTCTTGTGGTCGTCTCGAATTAAATGACTCACCCGTGATCAGCAGCGTGCCCGATGGCAGTTGCTTAAGGAAAACCACGCGTTTCCCGCGGAAGCGTCCAGAAAGCAGAATAAGCACCGTTCCAGGCGTGATGGACTTGCGTAGCTTAGCCGTCTTGACGCTGTTGCGCTTAGTCTTGGCGGACGGTAGCAGCTTGGGGATGTAGTCGGCCGGGTACCATTTTTTCGTTGAGTGCGTGGTTTGCGCGGGGATCTTCTCAACCTTCGCCTTGCTGTTGGCGCCGCTGTGTGCAAATACACGGCCATTGGTTTTAGCTAAGCTGTTGGCGGATATGGCGTTAATGCCTCGTGCCAGCTCAAAGTTGGCGCGCTTCTTGGGTTCTGTGACGACCATTTCGAGAGAGATTTCAGCTGGGAAAGTATGCAGTTGAACAAAAGAAGAGAAGTTTTGTTAGATGCGTAGTAGTTCGGAGAGCAGGGTGGGGCAGTGCTTCATCGTAGAGGAATACATGCGGCACCGGTACAGGGGTCCGAAGCTTGCTTACCTTGTGCTGGCACTGCGTTGCCAGAATGAACCACAAAACACAACAAAAGTATTTCATCGAATCAAAGTCGTAAAAATGGAAGCAATTTCTACCAATCGCATGTAAGTTGAAGTGTGCCCAGCACAGCTCCAGTGTCGGTGCACATTCATTACACAAATCAGCCATCCAACCACTGTACAACAGGATCAAATGGGGTTTTCTTCCTAGATCTAGTTGCTGTTGTGCTTTTCGTAAAGCGCCTTCTGCTTGGCTTGTTCCTTTGCCAGTTTCTTAGTTTGTCCCTTGCTCAACGGCTCACCCGCAGCATCGTGTGTCGGCAGACCCTGCAAAAGAAAAGTATTTGTACACAGCTAAGTTCACCATAGCCCACATGAAGCAATCACACCAGCAGCACTTACGTTGTCGTCGAACTTGGAGTACTTGTCCTTCATGCCCAGGAACATCTCGCTAGGAGGAATCTTGGCCTTTTCAGCCAGTTCAGCCTTCTTTCGAGCCTCTTCCTCCAATCGCAATCGCTTCTGCTCCTCCTTTCTGATCTTCTCCTGTTTCTTTTTCTCCAGCTCCTCAATCAGCTCGTCCTTGTTCGCCAGTTTCCACACCGCTGCACCAGCAGAGCGGTCCTCCAGACGCACGCCAGCATACGGCAGCTTCTCATCACGGACAACGTCACACAGACGCAGCACAGTGTTGGCCAGAGCCTTCGGGTCGCCGCCTTCCGCAGCTGCAGAGCGCGCAGCCTCACGAATCTCGTCACGGAACTGCGCAAAGATGTCGAGCACCGGCGTAAGGACCGTCTCCTGGTCGGCACCGCCAGTCGCACCCGAGCCAAGCGGGAAACCGATGTCAGTAGCGGAGGTCACAAGCCCAAAGATCGACAGGATGCGCGTAATGTACTCAGCACTGGAACGGATCAGCATCGAAGTCGGCTTCTCGATATCTCCAGCCATGTAGCGGTTTACCTCCTTGGCTAGTTGCTGCAAGTGCAGCAGCGCCAACGGCGTGTTGATGTCGTCGCTTAGCGCACGGAACACCTTCTCCTTACAGTCCAGCAAGGCTCCGTGCAGCGCCTTCTCCACAGGCGTCCACTTCTGAGTCTTCTCCACTCCAAGTTCACGAAGACGCGCCTTGACATTAGCGAAGAACTCGGTGAAGAACCGGTCAACACCGACAGCCTCGTCCATCGAGTTGTCGTTGTAGTCCATGGGCACATTGTACTTGTGCAGCAAAAACAGGAAGCGCAATTGACGCGGCGAGTTGTCCATAAGCGCCTCCTGGATCTTGACAAAGTTCTTCAGACTCTTCGACATCTTAAGACCTTCAATATTCAGATGGCCAGTGTGCACGAAGTAGTTGACCCACTGCGAGAAGTCAAAGTACGCCTCAGACTGCGCGATCTCGTTGTCGTGGTGTGGGAAGCGCAGGTCGATGCCGCCCGAGTGGACGTCAATCTTACCGCCAGCCAGATGTTTCAGCGCATCACTTGCCATGGCTGAGCACTCGATGTGCCATCCAGGACGTCCCTCACCCCAAGGAGAGGGCCAGAACGGTTCGCCACTCTTCGATTTCTTCCACAGCGCAAAGTCGCTGGCGTTGCGCTTGTCCGACTGCCCAGCTGACAATGCGCCTTCACCTTCAGCTAGCAGCTCCGACTGGCCGACGTTCTCGGGCAGCAGTTTGCCGTACGCCTTGCCCTTGGACTGTCCAAACGCCGCTGTGTCGAAGTACACGGAGCCGTTGCTCTCGTAGGCAAAGCCGTTCTTGATGATTCCTTCCACAAACTCAACGACCTCGGGAACGTATTCGCTTACACGGGTGATGACTGTGGGGGTCTTGATATTGAGCGCAGCCATGTCTTCGAGAAAGGATTTCTCCCAGAACTTGGACAGCTCACGTGTGCGACGCATGTTGTCCTCGGCGGACTGCTGGGAGGCCCACTCCATGACGAGCTTAGCCTTCTCGTCTTTGTCCTTAGGCAGTTCCTTGCCCGGGTTGGCCTCAAGCCAGCCGGTCTCGGAGGCTCGCAGGATGATCTTGTCGTCAATATCCGTGATGTTCATGACGAGCTCCACCTCCAGGCCGAAATAGTCCTCCAGAATGCGACGCACGTAGTCAAAGCATGTGTAGGTGCGTCCGTGACCCAAGTGCGTCTGATCGTACACAGTGGGGCCGCACATGTACCAGAGCACGCGCTTGCCCTGCATGGGCACAAAAGCAGTCTTACTGCGCGTCATGCTGTTGTACAAGCGCAGCGGGTAGTGCGTGTTCCAGTACTCGGTGAGGCCATCAATGGGGCGTGGCGGGTACCATGTGGGCTGCTTCACGGCGGGGGCGTCAGGTGTCGTGTCCGTCATCGTCAGTCACTTAGATGCGTAGCGCTGCGGACGATTGATTGGAGTCGGGTACACGTTTCTAGTCTAATTGACGTTCTGGAAGTAAGAGCACTCATTGGATAGAATTTGGAGCGAGTGGATTGGCTGAAATACATGTATTGGAAATTATCTTTTGTGTTACATGTATTAGATATTATCCGGCTAACACCGGCTACCGTGTCAATAAAAGTAAGCTAAACGACAATAGCAATAATTTGGAACGAAGCGCTACCGAGCTTGAGCAAGCCAAACCAAGAGGATGCTCATGTCGAACTTAAATGGCAGAGGCGACGTATCCATAGCAACTGCGCCAAACTTCTCATCGATTACTTAGAAAAAGTATTATACTGTACGACTGCGGACGACAGACTCGCGATTTCGTTCAGAGAACTCCACCGCTTAGCAAGAACATGTCCTTCAAAGCAGGATGATCTCTTCAGATTATTTTTTTTTTTGGCTAAAACTGAAGAAAAGGAAAGAAGCTCATTATTGCTCCATGCCGACGTCACTAAACCAAGGAGCTTCAGTCCTGCAGCTAATGCTGACCAATAACGGCTCTCCAAGCAAAGATTCCTTTTCATAGTAGAATCATGCTTCCCGCATCTTCGTTATTGTGAGCCGAAACGGTGTTGGCGCCGGACAACAGTCTCAAATCTGCTGGTGTTCGACAGCATGGTAGTTTCTAAGACTTCAAGCCTGCTGCTTTTGCTGCTCGCTGTACTGACCGCCAGCGTATCTTCGCTCGTTGCACCTCCTCCTCGCGCCGCCGTTATCGCGCGGCAACAAGAGCCCGAAGACTCCGACGACTTTGAGAAGCGAGAGGTGGAGAACTGCGTGCCGTACGACATTCGCTCATCCATCGTGGGCACACGTGCTGTCGTGGAGTGGGCCACTCGACGCACATACATCCGCAAGGTAAAGCTACAGAAGGCGCATGATCCCAGCCCCGTTGTTTCCAACCCGTGGCGCTCCTGTCGCGATGTGGCCGCTGACGTGGAAGTGCGCTATCGACGACTGGGCGACAATGATACAATGCTCATAAAAGGAGACAAAGAAGCACCTTTCGCCAGCAAGGAGGCGATTACATATACTACAGATGGAGCAACGTTCACGACGCATACGGCGTTCATTAACCTCGCGGAATACGACGCAGGGTACGAGTTTATCGTCGGCTCCGTATTCCACGGGTGGTCAGCGGTGCATCGTCTGGGTGCCAACATTCCTTTCCGAGGAGACGAAGCTGAACGGTGCCGACCGAAGCACGTACACACAGCGTATGGTCGCACACCAGGCAGCCTGGCAGTCCAATGGATGACTAAGGAGTATTGTGGGGACGGATACGCTCAGCTGCAGATGGTAGAAGGCTACCATGCCCACATCGAAGTGGAGGGGCCGAATGCAACCCCCGTCACGGCCTGGGCCAACACAACATTTTTCGAAGATGACGGTGAGAAACAGTCCAAGCGCTGGCTACATGTGGTGCGATTGGAAGGACTGAAAGCGGACACGAGATACACCTACGTTGTGGGTAATGCACACTACGCGTCGTGGTCAATTCCGTATGTGACCAAGACTGCTCCAGCTCCATTGACTGCCGGAGAGAAGCCCAAATCTACGCTGTTCTTGGTAACTGGAGACATAGGTTATCAGAACGCAGCCACTTTGCCGATGATGCAGTCCGAGGTTGCTGAAGGAATCGTTGACGGCGTGGTGTCTGTTGGTGACTACGCCTACGACTTGAACATGATTGACGGGCACGTTGGAGATATATTTATGCAGGAGATCGAGCCGATTGCTGCTAGCGTACCCTTTATGGTGTGTCCAGGCAACCATGAGACTCACAACGTGTTCAGCCACTACTCGCAACGCTTCCGACTCATGCCGAGCAACCAGAACGAAGGAGTGCAGACTGTGCATGTGGGTGGACGCTCAAAGGATGTAGAGCCCAAGGAAGTGCCGAACAACTGGTTCTACTCGTTCGATGTGGGGCTGGTGCACTTTGCAATAATCTCCACGGAAATTTACTTCAAGAAAGCATTTGATGTGGACGGAGACGTGATCGCTCGACAGGAAGCGTGGCTGGAGCAAGATCTTGCCAAGGCCAATGCGAACCGGGAGAAAACACCGTGGCTCGTGGTGATCGGACATCGCCCCATGTATTGTACATCGGACGACACCAACTGCGGCGATAAGGCTGCTATGCTGCGGAATAAGCTCGAGGACAAGTTCTTTACACACGGTGTGGATCTGTATCTGTGTGGCCACCAACACAACTACGAACGAGCGTTCGATGTGTACAAGTCGCAGACCTGGAAGCGTACGCACAATATGCGCGCTACAACGCACATTTTGACCGGGGCGTCAGGCCAGTATCTGACGTCAATCATGCGTAAGGCCTTTGAGAGACCCACCGAGGTCTGGGATGCCTTCCGTAACTCAATCTTTGGCTACTCGCGCATGGAAGTCGTGAATGCTACGCATCTGCACTGGCAGCAAGTAGAAGCCGACCCTGAGAACCCAGCAGCTCGTGGGCTCTACGGGCAGGTGATTGACGATGTGTGGCTTGTTCAAGAACAACATGGCAGCTTCGCACCTGTCGGGAAAGCCTCATAGAAACTATAGATGTAGCATAGAACTCATAGATGTAGATAGAATAACTATAATTTAACTGTAAGAGGACGAGTTGACCGTGGCAACACATTGGCATCGACCAAGTTCATGTAACGGTACCGTACTGTAGGTAGTCGATGGTTTTTCTCCACTACAGATACCGGTATTATACCTGGTACCGGTACGTCAATGGTTGAGCTGGTAGGTTTCAGTTTGACATGGACACTTTATGTCTTCATCATGTCATCAGACCGCAAGTGGTGAAAAGGAACTGGTCCACTCAAGTGTTGGTAGCGATCGATATGGAGGCGGCATTGAGTCCCAAAGCCGGTGGCACCTATGAGGCCCTTGTTCAGGTACAAGCATGCATTCTGTACTGAAAACCAAAACTTCTTCTATTGGTCAAAAATGCAGGGGTACTGCTGTCTTCGCTGATCCGTCAAAAGACATGACGAATCCGCTGTAATTACGGGAAAGCCTGGCGTACAGCAACGCGGGGTCCATTCGAACAGTCGGGGAACCCTTGTTTGGAGGTGCCACCGGCGCGAGCGAGTCTTCCAGGTCAACGAAGCTCGTGATGCTTGACTGCAGTAGCTGCGCAAAGGCGACATCCTTCTCCTTCACGCGCTGCACCTTAAGGTGCCACTGCGATAGCAGCACTGCGAACTGGACCGCGCGTCCGAAGAGAGACTTCGACTTATGCACCCACTCTAACGTCGATAATCGTGTATAGACATGTAGCGTCTTTCCTGCCAGCTGGACGTAACAGATCTTCAACAGCAGAAGTAACGCCAAAACTTCCTTCTCAGCAGGATGGTAGTTCATCTCGGCCTCCTTGAGCACCCGACCGAGGAACCGTACGGGGTGTAACTTGCCTTCATGTTTTTGCATTAGTGTAGTGCTCAACGCCCATTCATTCGCAAAGAGCATGACGTGAACTTCTTTCGACCGATCGAAGTGCCTGAGGATGGGTGAATGTGAAACACTCGTCTTCAATTTTTTGAGGGAACGACGTGCCACAGAAAGGCCACCTTCAACGTCAAAGTCTTCATCCTTGAGCTGGTACAGCGCCGCACCGTAGACCGCGAAGTCTTGAATGAAGCGGCTGTAGTAATTAACCGCATGCATGCCCTTCTTGCTCGTTGGAAACGAAAGCTCGGTGATGGCCGCAAACTTCTTGGGGTCAGCTCTGATACCTTCTGGCGAAATTTTATGCGACAGAAAGTCCACCTTGGGTTGGCAAAAGATGCTCTTGGTGAAGCTAATGCTGATCCGACACTGTGGAAATATTGCTAGCAATCCGTCCAGCGTCGCTAGGCAGCTGTCGAAATCCTCGCCACCGAAGCAAATGTCATCCACAAACGACCGTCGACCAAATACAGGTACCAGCGATGATTCGTCTGGCTCCCCGTTCGTAAACATGTCAGCGACGGGGCTGTTGACGAGTTGTAGTACAGGGTCGGACTCTACCGGTGCTTCGCGGTCTGCCGCGAACTTCGTTTGAAACGAATTCTCGGCGCTTGGCCCACGACGTTCCTTGGCCTGTTCTTCAGCTAAACGCATCCTCTCCGAGTATTCAAACCAACCTCCTTTAGGTTGAACGAACCCCCAGAGTGCGTTGTCAATCATACGCTGGTAAATCATCGGCGCGTTCTTTAACCCAAAGGGCATGCGTAACCACTCAAAATGTCCTAGTGCGCAGACGAACGCTGACACTTTACGCGCTCGCAAGGTCATCATGACCGCCCAGAAGCCGCTTGCTGCATCCAGCGAGCAGAACCATAGGTAGCGCTCGAGATCTGTTAACAGGTCGTCGACTAGCGGCATTGCATACTCCATGATCGCGGTGATAGCATTCACCATCTTGTAATCAATGCAGAGCCGGATGTCCAGCCCGTTCTTTTTCATCACAATCACGATCGGCGATGCCCATGGACTGTCTGAAAAGACGATCAGTCCTGCACGCAATAAAGCGCGCAGCAGCTCGTACAGCTTGCCGAGAAATCGCAGCGGCACGCGCCGGGCACGCTGTTTAATTGGGGCGTGCCCCTGTGTGTCGATATCGCATACCGCTCCGTAGGCTGGCGGCGGCAGTGCGTTACCACTAGCAATCAGGATGTGCTCGTGGTTCTTTAGCGTCGCGACTAGACGTTCTCGGCGTTCAGTCGACAGCTCAGGATCAGCAACATTAGGCGCAGTGTAGTCAATTGTCGTGTTGATCTCTTCGGTCAGGTCCGGCAGGAATGCCAGCTCCTTCGCGTAGTCGTCCAAGCCAATGTTGTTAGCTTGGTGTTCGTAGAAATCATTTCTCGTATCCTCCGTTGCTTCATTTCCCTCGGTTGTTAACACTCGAGCAACCGAGATGTATGTTCCGTTCAACGCCGCTACGGATTCTTCCCTTGACTCAACATTGGCATCCGCTTTGATTTCAACAGTCGGTACTTGGTCCATCTCCTTTCCATCCTGGTTTCCCATCTCTGGGCCACCTGCCGAGTCGTCGTTCGCAATATTGAATGCGTGGGCTGCCGACATATTGGGTTGTTGACTTTTGTTCCGCTCCTCGTTCTGCCGCTGTCTTGACATTTCGGAATTCGCACCAATCTTGCAATGAATACTCGGTGCCGTACTCAACACCTTCTGCGCGATGCCTGTATCCTCTGGATCAACCACCGGTGGCTCGTTCGCAGATTTGGTGACACACAAGGCCGGGACAGCTTCGTCAAAACGTGTGACTCCAATATAATCCAGTGCTGTTGCTTGTCGCTTCCGTGGTCACCCCCGGCTGGACACTAACACTCGTTGGCGTATGTACCACGTTCACCGGTCTCAGTAGTTCGTGTGTACGCACTACCGAGGCTTCGTTCGCGTTATTGCTTCCGCCATGGGTTGTCGTGCACGTGTCCAAAGGTTCTGCGGAAGGCTGACCGTCGGCCGAATCCCCGGCTGTCACCCCAGACGCCAGACAGGCTTCCACTCGTTCACGTTCTTCCAGGATCAGTGCCCAGCGCTCTGCACATGTCAGACGATCACTAGAATCCACTAGCGAGTCTTCTAGAGGTCGTGCTAGCACCCCACCGGGTTCTGGGTAGTATGGTCGATCAACTGCTGAAGGCTGAGTTGCAAGCCATTGTTCGTAGATTTCGCATTCACGCTGAAAGAGCTCGCGGTCTCTACAACCTTCGTAGGCCAACACTTGCCAGTCTTGGTACTTCTTGGACTCCAGACGCACATAGCCGTCACCTCGTGGCAATTCCCCATCTGGAATCCACATCGCGATCGAGTCGTGTGCTGGTAGGTACACCGTTCGATCAGACACGTTGGTCAATCGAATGCTCTGAGGCCGTCCACGTCGAAACCTCGTCACTGACGGGATTAGCTTGTTCGTTCGACGAACCCACAGTACGTGTTCTTCCAGCCCGACTTGACGCTTCACTAGTCGATATTCTCGCCACTCGTGCGCTTGAATGTCCAACCGCTCGGGTGGCCCGGCGTTAACATGGGAGCCGTATTCTTCGCTGTCGATCATGTTCTTGGTCTTTATCAGCGGGATTTGGACTTCGTGCGGTAATTGCGCCGCACCGTGAAACAGGTCCAACCGGATCCCAGCTGGGATCATAAAGTCGGTCCCGAGTACCACGTCGATGCCTGCACTATGCGCCATTATCCACATCTCAAACTCGTACACCATCTCCCATCCGAGCGTAATCTTGACGCACGCTCGCCGCGTCGTAGACACCTTGCCTTCGCTAATACCTTGAATGTCAATGCGGCGTCCGTGATCGGGTACATCTCGGAGTCGCAACTTCTTAGCAAAGGCGTCAGTGATCACACTAACGTTCGCTCCTGTGTCGAGGAGAATCTTCGTTCGCTGGTCGTTCACAGCGCCTTGCACCAGAGCTCTCATTCTGATCCGTCGGTCGAATTTCTTGGCCGACCACCACCCCTGTCTCTCGCCAGGGTTCAACTTCATCATCTTGGAGTGACCCTTGGGCTCGTCTCGCGCTGCACTCAAAACCAAGCCGAGCGAACCCTCGCTGGTGCCCTCATCAGCATCAGCACACTCCACTATTTCTCCAACACCTCCACCGAGGATTCTACTCCTCTCCTTTTCATTTTCCGTCGCGCTCACACTTGTTACGTATTTATCAGGCACATTCACTCTGCCCCATTAAAGCAAAGATACACTCTGCTTCCATGAAG